CCACCATCCAAAAGACAAACAACAACAAATGTTGGCAAGGTTGTGGAGAAAGGGGAACCCTCCTACACTGCTGGTGGGAATGTAAATTAGTTCAACCATTGTGGAAAGCAGTATGGAGGTTCCTCAAAAAGCTCAAAATAGAAATACCATTTGACTTAGGAATTCCACTCCTAGGAATTTACCCTAAGAAAACAGGATCACAGATTTAAAAAGACAGATGCACCCCTATGTTTATCACAGCACTATTTACAATAGCCGAGAAATGGAAGCAAGCTAAGTGTCCATCAGTAGATGAATGGATAAAGAAGATGTGGTACATATACACAATGGAATATTATTCAGCCGTAAGAAGAAAATAAATCCTACCATTTGCAACAACATGGATGGAGCTAGAGGGTATTATGCTCAGTGAAATAAGCCAGATGGAGAAAGACAAGTACTAAATGATTTCACTTATATGTGGAGTATAAGAACAAAGAAAAACTGAAGGAACAAAACAGCAGCAGAATCACAGAACCCAAGGAGGGACAAATAGTTACCAAAGGGAAAGCGACTGGGGTGGATGTGTGGGAAGGGAGGGATAAGGGCAGGGAAAAAGAAAGGGGACATTACGATTAGCATGTATAATGTCAGGGGGTGGCATGGGGAGGGCTGTACAACAGAGAAGACAAGTAGTGATTCTATAGCATCTTACTATGCTGATGGACAGGGACTGTAATGGGGTGTGTGTGGGGGACTTGGTGAAGGGGGGCGCTTAGTAAACATAATGTTCTTCATGTAATTGTAGATTAATGATAACAACAACAACAAAAAATCTTCTTGGGTAAAGTCAAGTGTATTTCTGAGACAGGGGAAGATTAGGATAAAGCCTAATCTCAAAGTGGTTAAAAATCCTCAAGAAAAACTTTCTTTTCATCACTTTCAATAAAGACACATATTTAAGTGCTGAAAGAACAATTAGAGGCATTTGCTTATTAGTAAGACAACATATTTTACCTTTTCAAATCAGAAATCTGAGTATGTGCATCAAGCAATTTGTTCTCAGTTGTATTTAATGTAACCTATGAAAATAAAGGACACATTCAGATAACTGAAGATAAATATTCAAATGTATTATTTTTATTTTAAAATGCACAATCTAATTTTATTTTAAATGCAAAACCAACCTAAGGCTATACCCAAGAACTACAAAGAAAATTATGCAGATACTCAACAAGTATGCTATCAACCCATGAGCCAATATACGTAATTCAAGGAAAAAAAATGAGAGGATAAAGCAATGTTTTAAACAAATAGCTGTAAACCCCTATGCAACAGGTATAGCTTATTGTACTTCGCTGCATCACACACAACAGAGTGTTAAAATGGACATATTTTAACAACTTGAGTAAAACCTCAGTAAATGGCAAAACAAACACCTGCAAGGGGGAAATTTCAGACACAGTAACCGTCCCAGAGCCCCCAGGACTCTTGACTGCCCAGATACACAAGACTTGTCAGTTTGAATAATCACAATCATGCATTTTATGCAAGAGAAATACTTGGACTCCACTTACAGCATTATTGTGGTTTTCACTGAATTCACGTGTCTATTTCCCAGAGTCTTAAGAATCACCATCAGTAAACTCAACCCCACAAGAAAACTAATGCTTTGAAAAACAAAACTTTATATTTAAATAGAATTAGAAAATTATTTACATCTATATGGTATCTTATGCTCTTCTGAAAGTTTCACCTCATCTCAGATGCAACAGTGGTTCAATAAATACTTGTTAAATTAGTGAATCCAAACAAACTATGAGTTTCAATGGGCAAATATTTTTAAATAAGGTTATTGACACAAAGAAAATAAATGAGTGGTCTGGTTTGAGCAGCTAGATGGAGAGGTAGGAGGAGGAGAAAGGGTAAGCCCTCTTGATTTCCGATCCAATGCTTCTGCCCCTACATGAAATTCAGAACATGAACGATCAACCATTACCTTCACTCTTTCGTGTTCTTTTCCAAGGGACTCATACTCTCCTAAAAGCTACAAGGAAAAACAAAGAATTGCATCACAAAATTAAACACTAAACTGAAGGAGAGTCTATAAAATAAGTGCCCATACCCTTCAAAATTGTTTATGTCATGAAAGAGAAAGGTTAACACACTGTTTCAGATTAAAAGTGACTCAAGAAATAAGAGATGAATATAAAGCCTGATCCTGGGTTGGATCCTGGACTGGGAAAAAAGTGCCAAAAAGAACAATTTTGCTATGGACTGCATATTAGACTCCTTTATTTTTATTTTATTTTTTTTTACTTTTTTTATTTTCAAGTTGAAATTTAACTTTTGAGGATTTGTATTTTTTTTTTTTGAGAGGGCATCTCTCATATTTATTGATCAAATGGTTGTTAACAACAATAAAATTCAGTATAGGGGGGTC